AGTAATAAACATATTTACCAAGTCAGGAACAGTTATCAGTCCAGAATAGTCCATGGTAATAATCCAATAGCCCCAAGGGATTTGGAGCAAGAAGTCCATCTTTGCCAACCATGAGCTGAGCTCACAAAGCAGTCCTTTGTTCTCTCCCAGGCCACATGGCAGCCCAACATCTCAGATAGACAGACACAGAGTTGTAGAGATCATAGCAGGAACAGAAGAGAGAGAGAGTTCTCCCATAAGCTTTAAGCAGATATACGGCCATTCAGTCTTCAAATTAGCTCTGGCCAGGAGCCAATTGAAGTAGACCTGGGTGTGCCCAATGGTAGGGTTGTCATGGCTACAATTTCTGAATGGTCAGTTGTCTTGGAGGCCACACCTGCAGTTGTGATCCCCCAAGCCCCAACTCCCATTGCGTACGTGCAGCTTCTAGCATGCTGGCCTAGCTTCCAGCATGAGGTGTGAAGGTATGTGGTTTATGGCATGGCAATAGAGCTTCTCTGACCAAATGGTCAGCCATCTGGCTTGCAACAGGAAACAAGGTATCAGAAGACATTCCAAGGGGGGAGGCAGGGGTCTGTAGGAATCAATATTTCTATACACCCCCAAAGAAGTGCACGTGAGTCTTTGTAGGGAGGGGCTCGCCTACTGCTGGCTCCACAACAATAAGACTTTCCATCCAAATCAGTGCATTTGGAATCATGAGCCTAAGCCAAGCAGCTGGAAAGAAAATTCTTTTCCAGCTGATCTGCGAGTAATGGATTGCCCCACATTCCAATACAGCTGCCTGAAGGAAGAAAAATATACCACACATAGATGCTGGACAACTTTTCCCCAGGGTAATTCATTAATTCGACAAAGCTTGAACAACATCAAGCTGATATGATTTACAACCAGAAAAAAACAACCCATCCTTTTATCTGTAAATTGACAAATCCATCAATATGCTCCATTAATATGCTCAAGAATAGTTTCCTTGAACAACCTCAGCTACATGTGTGAAATAGTTCAAGGAAATTAGAATTTGGAAGTCCACAATTCAGAGTTACTAAATATCATTATTGTTGCAGTCTTTCTCAAACACATATACTACTTATAGTATAGTATAGCAGTCTGGATTAATAAAAAGGTTTTAAAGAAAGAACTCCGGAAGCTCACGTAATCCAATATACTTGTACTAGAAAGGATTTTTTTTTAAGTATTTTAACCAAGATTTCAGAACAAGAGTTCCCTACAAGACTCACATATTCCAAGCAGTCAACCCCTTTGTATTTGCAATCCCTTTAATTTTCAAGTTCTAAGATAAATTATCTTACTGCTTTTAAAAATATCTCATTTAACAAAAGCAATAATGCAAAGCCACCAGTAAAATATCTGGAGTCATCTTAAGAGAACATGATCCCCAAGAAATCCCTGCATCTCATTTCCCCTACTATAATTTCACCTTATTTTTCTCTGAAAAAAGCAGCTACTTGCCATTTACAACTCTCTTGCACTGCAGCATCTTTAGGTCAATCAGCTCCTGAAGAATAAAGGCAAAAATTACTAAAATACAGTAGATCAAAACAGTAAAGTTCTATACATCCATCTACACAGACACGCCAACTGAGCGGCAGAAGGAAACATACAAACTTCTCTTACTTTAATTGTAACTAAGAAAACATCAGCACCAAACTTAACCATACCCAATGCTGATCCAGGTGCCTCTTTTACCAGGATGTGAAAATCACCTGAAGCCATAGTAAACCCTGGCAGCACTAACAACCTCCAGTGGGGAGGGTGGGGTATAGATCAAATAAACAAACAAACAAATAAATAAATATGAGTGCCACATTTTCCTTTAGGACATTTAAAGAAGGAAAGGGAAAACCTGCTCCAGAAAGTAGGAGGAAAATCTGTGCAGACCTGGAATTGAACCCCAATTCCCTAACTATGGTTAAGACAAAGATGGCATTATATCTGTGCTGACAGTATATCTGGACCATGTGATGGCCGATTCCCACAGAACCTGATTTCTGAACCACCTGATTATTTGGCAAAGCCACATAACAATCTGGAGTTGGGAGAATCCCTTCCCAAGACTTCACAAATCATTATGTTACTGTGTAAATACAAATATGCTATTCCAATGCCTAGCTCACCTCCTCTCCATTGGATTTTCCTGGGAGTAAACCCCATTGAATAGAATGGAACTTACTTCCAATAAGAACTGCTTGAAAACCAAAACAACCTTATTTAATTTACACAGAAATTTCAAAATATATTTATCAAGCAAACATAAATACACAATTCAGAGCAAAGCATTCAAAATGTCCATCTCCTCCTTCTATCCAGATGAAGGGTTCTAGAACCACACAAAACAGGCAACAGATGATGGCATTTTTGTATCAATATTCTCTGCAAAGCTAATGATTCCTCAGTATGTGTACCACCCTATTAATGAAAGCAGAAAAGCTGAACTTCTCCAAAACAAAATATACATGCGACTAGCTGGCCATACTGAATGCATTCTCAGCATCAAGAAACTGAGGTCCTAGACAATGACTGGAAAATATAGGTGCACAACTGTGCCAACCCTATGCAAAGTTACTCCAGTCTAAGGCAAATTATTTCAATGGGTTTAAGACTGGAGAAACTGCACAGGACTGCATTGCAAACAACCAGGATTTTTGTGGGCACTGAAAAGCATTTTAGAAAAAGGGAAATCGTCTTTTGTCCCAGTGATTCATCATTCATACCTCACAGTACACAATATCAGCACCATAATCCAAAGCCAGCAGTCGCATAGGGAGGGTTCCAACTCGTACCATGGGAGCCAAGATGACCTTATTTCTGAAACAGAGTGATGCAGCATTGACCGTCATGACCTTTCTGCAATAACCTGAAACAAGTGAAAGATATTCAGAAACAAAGTATTGACATAGTTTTATCATTTCCATCAGCTATGTCTCTCAACTATCACTAAAATGCCTTTCCCAAGTTTGCAAACTGCAGCTGGTAGTGTTTTAAATGCTCTCTAAGATACCCTATATGAATGCATTCAAAGTTATGAACCACTCCAAACATGTATAAATGCATTCATCTCTCCCAGACACTCTACAAATTGTAGCAATGTACATCACAGAGATTAGATGCAGCATGAGCCCTCAGCACAACACATTGGTTGTCTTTTTTCAATTTCTTTAAAAATTTGTGTAAACTTTAAAAATGTAGAATAGACTTGCACTAGAATTAAATCTTTACTATTTAATTAACCTTTTAAAATATGCAAACTACATAAAATATTTTATTAACAGAAGAGTACACAGTAATAATTTAACACTCTCTAAGTCTCTTACTCTAGTTTTCAAGTTTTCTCAGAGCTTTAAATCAGCAAAGAAACAAGAAAAGACAATATGAATAAGCAGTGTGATGAATAAGAAAGGAGTTCTCGCAAACATCAAAAAATGTTCCATCTCCACAGCTAACATGAAGAACATTTAGGCTGGCTACATTGTGGGCAACCAGGTATTTGAAACACAAATACATTTCAGTCCCAACCGAACAAACACCAATCCACTAAAAATTGGCCAGTAGCCCACCACTGGACAAGATCCTTCCCGCATTGCACTGTAGCTGTCAGAGTGCAAAGACTAGGTCCTGGGAAACCAAGGTTCAAATCCTCGCTACGCCATTAACACTCTGTTAACATCTGAACTGAACAGAGTTCCTGTCAGTTCTAGCCCGCGCTGGTGTGAGCTACCAGCCTTGTCCCCAGCTCGCCGTCCACAATGCGGTTCGAAAGCTTCGTCGAGTGGACAAAATGGGTACCACTCCTTAGAGAGGATGGGCACACTAAACCCCCGTTGGGGAGGTGTTAGCCGGCGAATGGAATGTCCAGCTCGAAAGCCTGGAAAAAATACCTCTTCGGCATTAAGGAGCCTGTAATGGGCCAATCCAGCCAGGCGGTGGCAGTGAGGCGCTACGACTCAAAGCAGCCCAAGAAGAACCAACATCATCAAGCCAAGCTGAAATGAATGCTGTCCGGAACACGTCTGAAGCCTACAGCTGAACAAAAATCCCTGTCGGCTGTAAATGTGTGCAATTTAAAAGAATTATATGTTGTCCTCCCTTACCCCCTATGAAATTGTTAGTCCCTTGTGTGAAACCGTGTAACTGTAAATCGCTCAGAGCCAGCAGCTCTGCTGGACTGAGCGATCAATAAATCGAAAGGTATTATTATTATATTATTATTATTTTGTTGTTATTGTTAGGAAGACTAAAATCCCACAAATCATCAGAACTGGATTCATATGCAAGCTAAATAAGCTACAGCTTATAATAGAATCATAGAGCTGGAAGGGGCCATACAGACCATCTAGTTCAATCCCCTACCCAATGCAGGACCAGCCTAAAGCAGGGGTGTTAAACATGCAGCCCGGGG